TCAGCTCTGCATGATCACATGCAGCGGTAAGCGGACAAAACACACACTTCAGGTTAGAATATCACACGTAGCTATTTTAATTACCTCTCAAACTACCTAAACTAGTTATAGATATGTTTAGTTTTACTGTCGGGTCACTCATTACTGGATCCGCGAGCTGCATGATACTGGCATAATCGATTGCCCGATCGGGCAACCAGCAGGTGAGGCTTCATTGCCCGAGCTAAATACTAGATGGCCCCGGGCCATCGGGCAGTCCTTAATGTCGAGCCCCAAATCCAACCTGCTCTCTGTTTATCTCTCACTCTTTGGAAACCTCTACATTAAGAGATTGAAAATTATGATTTAATAAGCCACATTTGATGTATAACCTGATAAACACATGATATGATTTGGCTTCTGTGTTCTGCGTCTTGTATTAGTATTTGTTAAATAAAATAAAGAGTATTCACATTTATTTTTGCTATCTAACCCCTGATTGATGTGCACCCACCTGTGGATGTGTGATGGCGAAGGTGGTGAGCAGGTCGGTGAGGGCGGTGAGATGGGGGCTGTCCTCTGAGCCGGCATAGTAGGGGTGAGCCCGGTCCGTCCTCAGCACGTCCTTCAGAACGTTCCCTCGGATGAACTCCAGGTCCTCGTAGCTGACCCGCGCGGTCCACTCCCTCTTCAGCTGGTCGTACTCCCTCGTCTTCCTCTTCATGTAGTCCATCCTCTCCTGTCCGCCCAGCCCGTCAGGGTAGACGTTCAGCAGGTACCGCCAGACCACCTGGCACAGACATTAAGTACAAATGATGTTTTGATTTATTCATTTTTTTTCAATTTTGTTGGTGCACAGGTGGAGAATATGTCTGGGGTTATCTCTTTGGGGGAAAAAAAGTGTAAATATTTAGAGATTTTACCCTCATTTATGACAAACAACATTAATTAAAGCAACCTTAATCTACCAAATTAAAGGTGGTTTCTGCCCAACACATGGTTGTTTCTTGTCTTACTGATATATACAATGCCAAGAATAAGTTCTAGCATCGAATAAGAACCGTATTTGACAGGCAGAATCAAAATAAATACACCTGAATATAATTGAACACCCAACCCTGTTTATTTAGGACATGAGATTTTAAAAATTTGTACTCCACCTTGCGCAGGGAAGGCTCCACCCCCCCGTGGTAGATGCGCAGCCGCAGCTCCTCGGGGCGGCTCAGCTGGCCCTGCCCGTTCAGGTAACTGTGAAACTCTGTGTCGCTCAGGGGGGGCTTGAAAGGCTTGATCTCCTCCCCGTACGCCCAGCTGAACGCCTGCTGTACCTTCGACAGGGTGCGGCCCACCTGAACACAAAGAAACAAGCATCAGAGAAAATACCCTGACAGAGGAGCGAAGGTGAAAGAGAGCTTGTGGTTGTGATCAAACCACAAAAAAAGCAATGGCAATTCTAAAGCGTGGTGGTTACAAAATGAGTTCCTCTATGGAATGTGTGTGTAACAATGGATTTACATTTAGATTAAGAAAACCGGATCCAGTGAACGAATGACGAGGAACAGGCTTGTCAAATTTAAACTATACAACATTAACTACACATACCCCCATGGAAGCTGTGGCCCCTCCTGATTCTCTACAGCGCTCACCAGTGAACCCTCTGTGTGAGCTCTGTAACAGGGCTCTGTGTCTGACCTCAGGTGAGCAGGTGACGTAGCAACAGTAATATTAGAATAGAACAATTCCAAACATCTATATCTTCTATGGCATACTCATATTTAAAAAGGACAAAAACGGACCACAAAATATTCATATTTATTCTGTATTAGGTATTATTTATACCATATCTATAGTGTATTAATGTTCTACATTGCTGTTTGTAATGTTTACAGTGCCTTAAACTGTACGTAATGTAAATAATGTCAGATGTATATATTTACACTATACTAAAGATCACTCTGCACTAAGCTAATGTTTTGCTCTTCTGGTTGGATGTAAGCCGCAATTCGGTGTCCCAGAACTTGTACTCTGTGTAATGACAATCAAGTTGCATCTGATCTGATAACAAACCGGTGAATTCACACACACAACATATAGCACACATTCAGACGGACTACAACAGACTGTATAGGAAGGCTGAGAAGCTGGACCTGGGTCAGCAGAGATTGGGTGAGGGGGAGGGCTGCAGACGCCAGTGTGCGGGTTCTCTCTGGGAGGAGCTGCTCTGAGCCTATCACGTCTTTGGGGCTGATGATGTCCCAGTCCTCCATCACTGGACCTGCAGGTGAACACAAAGTAGAACACATTATCTATTCTGGCTCCAACTCTATGTCATATTCCTAATTTTAAGAGTAGGTTCCCAATTCAAGCCTATTTAAGACATGTTTCCGAATGAACTTTTAGTGTAAGCATTGAAAGTGCATTATGAAACAACCAATAGTGAACAACAGATCATGTTGAAGGTTAAGTCTTATGCCATGTCTTGATTAAGTGCTTATATGTTTGAACTTTCAACACTATGTTAAACCAAAAGGAGGACCATGAACCTTAGGCTAATTACTGTGAAGTGAAATGATATAACATTAAATAAAGTCAGCATTTCAGTGTGATACACAGTAGTAGATGTGTAGGCCTAACAAGTTATGCATGTATTGCATGAAGTATCATTCATTCAGATATTATTCAATCTTTAACTTTCCTTTTTTTATTTCAATTCAAGTAATGACGAATCAATTATTCATGATCAGTACCAGGCTGAGTATCTAGATCAGCTTTCAGTAGTCCAACAGAAAATTGTAGTGTTCCCACAGCGGACTTGCTTATGCTTAAATACATGTGAATTCTCCTTCACATCTTTCCTTAACCCTGTGATGTTTTTCACTGAGGTTAAGGAAGTGTCTGGCAGTACAAGACAGTCAGGCCGAGACACTGGGTCCGCGTCAGCCAGATAGTTATACAGAACCTCTTCTTCCTCTGCACTGAGGGCAGAGCGGCTCTACCAGAGTTCCCGTTAGCCGGTAATTACCGGACTATGACCGGTAAAATATGCTGAAGACCGGCAAATCTAAATCTCTCCGGTCAAAATAATTTCCCCTTAGTGCAATACCGCATCAGATGCGCCACCTATGTGATAGACAAGAAGAGTATGTGACAGACAAGAATAGTCAATTCTAATGTCTAACACTTAATGTGGAGAAAGAGATGTCCTGTATGGGTTGATTGTGCATTGATCTATTGGTAATGCCTCGGGGTTCTGGTGGGCATGTAAACAAATGCATAATGCTAACGCTATACTTTGCGGCCTCACCCGGTTGCATAGCGATGCTTATTGTTTAGGTGTCTTGATAAGCAGGTACAGTATTCCTATCATTAGCTAGAACTAGCTAGATCTGATCGATATGGACATAAACGCGAGTGAAGTCTAATCTGACGGGAGAGTGCCAAGGCACACAGGGGATAGGTTGACGACGAGTTCGACACTGCGCTCTGCATGATCACCTGCAGCGGTGAGCGGAACAAAACCTATCCCCTGTGTGCCTTGGCAATATCACACGTAGCTATTTTAATTACCTCTCAAACTACCGTAACTAGTTATAGATATGTTTAGTTTTACTGTCGGGTCACTCATTACTGGATCCGCGAGCTGCATGATACTGGCGGGCTGTCAGGAGAGGGAGAGAGCGCTCCGTTTATTATTCCCGTGTTATTGTAAGTTACTGTACACTTTTGAATAGTTAATGTACTATAATTAGTTTGTTTAATATCAAATCATATCAATTTGTTTTAAAGCTCAATAAATAACAAAGAAGACTTTTCAAATTTTGTCCGGAAGATTTCAACTTCAACGGACATGTTGACCGACGAAAAAATATTCTATCGGGAACTCCGGGCTTTACATCCAGTCACTATCCCCTCCAGAGGAACACGTGGTAAAACAAGACAGGAGGGACGGGGCTCGTCAGTTAGCATGCCGATTTCAGTAGATATCTCTACACCCAACATACAGTATATATAAATACAGTGCACTTCTTTGACATACCGTCAACGCTGTAATCTCCTCACATTCTGTTGATCATTGAAGTCACTTTAAATAATATTGTAAATTTAAATTCTGCCATATCTTACACAGTCTACCTTCAAATGGGAATTAATTGAGAAACATTTGACTTCATTCTTAAAAGGAAAGTCTTCATTTTAGATTCATTCACAGGGTGCATGAGGACAGATGCAACATTTAAACACACTCTGTTATCTGTTATATTTGACCTTTTTGTCCTTGAGGCCTGCTTTGGGGACACACTGGACGTCTTACTTTCTTCTGAAGGCTTGATGTCCATCTTGAGCTGCAGAACTGGTTTGGCTGAACTGACGAACGCAGCATCCAGGTCCCCATCAGACAGCAGAGACAGATACATTTCAGCCCCGCTCCAGTCCCGGGACAGGTAACTGATCCCAAAGTTCTGCTTCCTAGTTTGGAAGACAAACAAGAAGAAAATGCTGACACGTGTAATGTGTCTATGTAGCAGCTGAGGCAGGGGGAGGACTCTTACCCGCTCAAATCAAAGGCTCTGATCAGAATGTGCTGAAGGACCTCCAGTGATGTAATCTGAGGATCTACAGCAAAGGAGCGGAATTCCACAGGAAGCACCTGATCACATTTCTGAAAGCATAACATCAAAAACATCATGATACTTTGGGAAAAAAACGGAGTGAGGTGAGAACAAAATATACCATGTTCTGCAGTTAGGAAACAAGAATAGTGTCCATCACCAACAAGGAGCCTTTTGCTGATATCAGAAGTATTTGTCTATTACCCCCGTGTCCTGTTCCAATGCAATACAGAATCAATGTGTGTTGACTGTTTATTGTAGAGTGAGCTGATGTGGTAAAAGATATCTGACGAGGGGGCTGGGCAATGTTGTCTAATTCTTTATAGAAAACTTTGAAAACAATATAGCTTGTTTTCTGGTCATTCAATTCATATTTAGTGTATGTGAAATAAATGGAACTGGATTGCATTTACTTTCTAGTCTTTGCAACCACTCAAAATACTTGACAATTCAAAGTACTCAATATGTTCTATTATTAAGAAGTACAAAATGAACCTACCAGTTGGGTGAAATCATAGAGAAAATATATTATATATATATATGTCCAGCTACACACTGACAATAAGATATTGCATGGTAAAAAACACAAAGCAGTCTGATTAAGAATATAGTTTGATTTAACTGAAGACCTTGTTAAAAGCATTGAACTGAGCAGGGATATTAAAACAATACTGCAATCTTTAAATTATATTACATCAAATTATATCCTAAATTGCCCAGTCCTATGTTAAACTAATACTGGATACTATTTAATTATTGTCCAGCTGTAGTAAGAAGTATACAAAACACATAGCTATCAAGAGAGCAGTGTATTCCTACTCTATGATAATAACAAAACAACAGATTTGACACAACTTTAAAATGTTGCCACATATAATAAAGCAATGAAACAACAAAATATGAGTTTAGCAGAGCTGGGAAGTAACTAAGTAAATGTACTCAAGTGCTGTACTTAAGTACAATTTGGCGATACTTGTACTTTACCATTTTATGCTACTTCTTATTTCTACTCCACTACAATTCAGAGGTAAATGGTGCACTTTTACTCCACTACATGTATTTAATACCTTTAGTTACTTCACAGATGTGGATGAATGATGTGAAATATAATCAAGTGTTAAATCAGACTTTAGTTCCACCTGGAGTAAATTCACAAGCTACCCTGCAGTATACAAAGTCATTCAAACTAGCTGCACCTTTACCAGCTTTGAGAACACTTTCATGATCAATCATTATAAAACACATCATATATATTATTCTGAAATGGACCAATCTGCACAATGACTACTTTTACTGTCGCTACTTTAAGTTTTTAGATGCCAACATGTTTTCTACTTGAGTAACATTTTGAAACAGGAGCTGCCACAGAATGCTCCAGGNCTGCAGTGGTGTAAAGTGACTAAGTACATTTACTCAAGTAAGTTCAAATTTGAGGTACTTGTACTCTACTTGAGTATTTCAATGTTATGATACTGTGTACTTCTCCTCCACTTCAGTTCAGAGGTACATGGTGTACTTTAATCCACTACATGTATTTATACCTTTAGTTACTTCTCAGATGATGAATGAAGTGAAATATAATCAAGTGTTAAATCAGACTTTAGTTCCACCTGGAGTAAATTCACCAGCTACCCTGCAGTATACAAAGTCATTCAAACTAGCTGCACCTTTACCAGCTTTGAGAACACTTTCATGATCAATCATTATAAAACACATCATATATATTATTCTGAAATGGACCAATCTGCACAATGACTACTTTTACTGTCGCTACTTTAAGTTTTTAGATGCCAACATGTTTTCTACTTGAGTAACATTTTGAAACAGGAGCTGCCACAGAATGCTCCAGGTGACGTCAGGTAGTGCTGAGCAGGCAGTGACGTCAGTGTTAGGTTCACTGCTGTGAGGAGCATTAGTCCTTTATACTGAGTTCTAATAGATAACTGTCAGCGTGTCAATCATCACTCGGCTGTTACAGTCATATAACAGCCAGAACGAGCGGATGGAAAGAATATTCGGTAACAGCGGCTGTCATAGAGAGCAGATCGGACACCGGAGAGAAGCTGAGCCCCATGCGGTACACAAAGCCTGTCCGGAAGCTGCTTCAGCACCAGGTCCATCTCTACGTTCAGCACGACAAAGAGCTGCAGCACAGCCAGTCGACATTAATCAGTCTTTTATTAAACTAGTAGTAATTAAACAGGGTGACGTGGTGCTAGCTAACTAGCGGACGTTGGCAGAATATTTGTTCCTCTTTCTGAATCCTCCTACCTTGACTTTGACCCGGACCACCCCCCTCTCCTCCTCTCCCGCCATCGTGCACACTCCGTCTCGGATCAGGATGGTTGTTCTGGGTTTAGTTCTCCTTCTACACCGACATGATGAGCAATAACATGATAGCTGCTGTTATTCCGAGCTCTTCTTCTGCTTTGATTTCCAGCCGCTCTGCAGCGGTGTCAGCGCCCTCTAGCTAACACAGCCTGCCTGCAGGCTCTGCACCCTGTCCTCACCTCTTCTTCTTCTTCTTCTTCTCTTGCTTTTGGCGGATTGCAAACAACTTAAAAGGTGCATACCGCCACCTACTGTACATGAGTATGCATCATCACATCATTCCAACTCATTAACCTATGTTCTAATCAAAATCAAAATAAATAAATAAATAAATAAATAAATAAAACCATTAAATAAATAAAACAAAACAAAACAACTCTATGTTCTTTCCTGACCTAATGTTAAATTCTTTTTCCTACCCCAGTTTCACTCAGAAATTTAAACAGTGCCTTTCTGGTAGCTTTTACTCCCTCTCCTTTTGTTCCCAAAACACCAACCACACTCCACTCCCTCTCTGCCTCTAAGACTTTAGCCTTTAATTGTTCTCTTTCCGCTTTATAGATGTCACAATTTAACAATATATGTTCTACATCTTCTTTTACTGCACAGTTCCCACACTTGTTACTGTTACTTTTCCCCATGATATACAGCGTACTATTCAAAGCCGTGTGATTTATTCTGAGTCTAGCCATCATGATTTCCTCCCTTCTGTTTCTTTCTTTATGAATATTAATTGTAATTGTATTTTGTACTTTGTGATAGTCCTTGCCTTTCTGGTCTTTCTCCCACCTTTTCTGCCAGATCTCCATCCCTTTCTTCTTAATGACTGCTTTTCCTTCTCCTTTACCAAGTTGAACTGGTAGTGTTATTTGCTTTTGTAGTGCAGTTTTTGCTAATCTATCAGCACACTCGTTCCCTTTCACCCCCTCATGTGCAGGCACCCAGCAGAACTGCAGATCTATGCCGCTTCTGTGCAGTCTTAACAGGCTATGATTCAGTTCTATGAGAATGTCTTCTCTAGTAGTTGTTGTTGATTGTATGCT